CCCCACCTCTAAACACTTACCTATGGTCCATGTTCACCACCACCAGCTCCCAAGACGCTCCGTTCTCTACCAGAAGCACCTATGCACGGTGTCTCTTTGCAAGGTAAAGGAGACGCCCGTAAAGAGCAGGAGAGGTGTCATAGTGTGAAGCATATAGGAAAAAAATACATTAAATGGGGCAATTGAAAACCAAGAAAAAGCTCATTAAGTGCGGATTAACAGTGCTGAATGAAAAAGTTTAATATCACCTCAAACACAATATATATCGCCCTGAGTTCTGATGGTTTTATTAATAAATCGCAGTACCCGTGCAGCGTGCCATGTGCCTGAATAGAAAGATTCCAAGGTGTGCAGATGCCATCTAGTGGAGGAATAAAGTCATTACTAGTATAAGCCACTGACCTGTACAATTAATAGATCAAACTGAAATCATTATTGGATCTTATTTTGTTTTTGTACATGATACCTACAGCGGTCTGTTAAAACCGAAATAGAATAAAGAATAAAACCCTAAAAATGTAATGTACTGCAGCTTCCCAATCCTTAAATGTGGTGACTTCATTAGTTTCCTTTTTTAGGCTTTTCCCCTTTATTTTCACCTGGTGATCCCAGCAGCAACACACTTCCTGTCTTAGGGTGACTCCAGAGAAGAAATGAAGCCACCCTTGGACAGCAGCATTTTCGTCCTGTGAAGCTGATTGGCTGCAGTCACTGTTTGGACACTTTTGCACCTGTCTCCTTCAATTTTGTTGTTGTGGCCAACCACTGCTGGAATTTCATCAAATTCATCAGAAAGTAGCCATGTATGGCCAGCTTGAGTTCTTTTCTGTCCTTCTTTCCATTAGCTCAATGGTTGCATTAACAGACATAGGGTAGAATTGCTTTATTATTGGCCCAGTCAATGTAATATTTTCTTGTGCATATTCTTTAGTTTCGCTCCACAGATGGAACCTGGTTTGTTTCTGACACAGGAAATTTCATGGGTTAATTGTCTTAACACTGCTCTGTGTCTCCCCACCTGTAGCATTGAATACTGGTTCCGCTGCATGGACCTGGATGGAGATGGTGTGTTATCAATGTATGAACTGGAGTATTTTTATGAGGAGCAGTGTGAAAAGATGGAGACCATGGGCATCGAGCCGCTACCCTTCCAGGACTTGTTGTGTCAGCTCCTGGACCTGGTGAAACCAGAAGAAGAAGGTATGATGCATTCTATAAATAGTGTGCAGGCTACAGAGTGTGGTATTGTAAATGTTGATTAGTGACATGATGATTACTGATGTGGCCCTTTGAAAGGCTAATCGCTTATAGCTAGGAGATGACATTCCTTTGGAAACACTCACAAGTCTCTAAGGCTTTCCGCTGGTGATTAGTCAATGACCTTCTAATTACCAGCAGAAGCCTGTGGAAGGGGATTTACTCCCTCTTATTTAGAATTATCATTTCGATAGACCTTACCTGAAATAAGTCCTACTACTCACCTAACGGAGAACTATGATCTCAAACACAGTACAATAAAAGCACCAGATCCACAAAGACTTTCGCCTCATCTCTTAGCTTACATTGGCTTTATGTTTGGAGTTGTGGCATCAGGCTGAGATGGCCGCATTCTCCCACTTAAGCATTGAAGGAACGAGCAATTCTATCCCTGTTCACGTGTCTCAGTAGAGCTCGTCTGAATACTAACTGTTCTGGTACCAAATGTAGGACTATTTTAAGGCTCATTATGATCACCGATGTCCAGCCAGTTGGCTTCTTACCGCTACTTGTTAGAGATGTCACCAGCACACCACATTGAAGTGCAGAACACGTCTTTTTTTTGATGCTTCATGTCATAACAAATTACGTTATGGGGCCACACAAAGTCCCCTTCATCAGGCATCAAGCCTGATGAAGGGAACCCTTTGTGGCCCCGAAACTTTGTAATTTGTTATGACATGAAGCATCAATAAACAGACGTGTTCTTCACTTCAATGAGGTGTGCTGGTGACATCTCTAACAAGTTTCAGTATTGCCAGCGCCATCCGTGGTAACTTCGAGCACCCATGCTGACGGGGATACCGGTAAGGAGTGCAGCAGGATTCTGGAATATATGGGGCCTCCAGCAGCTTCTACATCTTACCATTCTCTTTATAGTGCAATAAGGTTCATGGAAGTCGTTCCATATTATAACCGGGATTTATATCAGCCTAGGCTCTATTGGTCACAGTTTCATTCTATGGTCTGAGAGGTGTTCTAGTTGCTCTAATGGATCTCCGTTTACTTCTATGGGAGGCCATATTAATATACAATATATAATAATATAATATACAATAAGGATTATACATGGCTTAATGTTTTCTTCCCACAATCTAAGAACATACTGGGGGGGCGTACACTGGCCATACACTGGGCAAATCTGGAACAAACTTATATATGACAAATCTCATCAGAACATTCGATAATGTCATCAGAGACTTGTAGAATTTGTCATTTTGAAATTTCATTTTTTTTAACATTTGATTTCGGAATAAATGGAGTTTCTTCATTCATTGTGTACGCTGGAGAACATTTTCCATTCTGCGCCTTCACAAACAGTTGAAATGGACTATTAGAAAATTGAACGAATGTTCCAAAAATGAATAGTTCCGAACATAATTTTACTGGTCTTGAGCCAGCTCTAGTCTGTGTTTGAACCAGTCTAATATCCATACCACAACCGTGCAGACAGAGACGAGGGCTGATGTGAATGGTTCAATGTTCTCTGCAAACAATGCTAAAAAAGCATCAGCACCATGTAAATAAATGAGCATATCCTGTATGACTTGATACAGATGACTGTATGATTATTTAATTGCTGTTTCTATTATTCAGGTCGAATAACACTGAAAGACCTGAAGCGATGTCGAATGGCTCACATCTTTTTTGACACATGCTTTAACCTTGAGAAATACCTGGACCATGAGCAGAGAGATCCCTTTGCAGTGCAAAAGGTACAGCTGGTCACTCCCGAATGAAACAAAGAGCCACAAGGACACACAAGTGCTTGGAGGACCGTCACTGGGTCTTGTTGTCCTTGAAACATATACTATTGGGTCCTGTTGTTCTTGAAACATATACTATTAGTGTTTGACTCAGAGAAATAGGCATGCCTTTTATATATTGTCTTTCTAGGTGGCCAGTGACTTTATAAAGCATGTCCTCTCCTCTATCCCTTATACACGCCATATTTACAACAGTGAGTCCTGCGTCCCCTCCTGTTCCTGGTCTTTTCTCTGGCCTGTCAATGGCAACCATCAACCTTGTGTTCACCAATCCCATTTGAAACTTTGAATGAACTTGGAAGTGCTCTGTCCTGTTCTGGATTCATGCTGAGTGCAGTAGAAGAGAATCCAAGGGGTTGAATCAGACTCCTAATGGCCTCCATAAAGTTAACCTGCCAAAGACTACAGTGACTGGAGTACAGACTCTATACACACTAAGCTCACGTAACTCAAGAGGTGGATCCCCTGGGTGTTTTATTAAAAATAGTGTCTCTTATTTTTGTTACAGAATTATTAGAGCATTTTATTGGGTAAAAGCAGCTTGTGTCTTAAACAGGGTGCCTTGTATGTGTGTGACGTGACTAGATTCACGCTAGTGCTTCATATGTAGAGCTGCAATCCAGCTGGTTGATGTTACTCTCATTGTCATTGCTTATAAGTGACGTTATTCTCCTGTGCGCTATCACTGTTTAATACATCTCCTTCTCTGCAGGACATAGACAATGAAACACCAGAGCCATCAGACTGGGACAGATATGCAGCAGAAGAATATGAGATCCTAGTTGCTGAGGAAACTGCTACTGAACACTTACAAGAGGGGTAAGTAGTCAGCACCACGGGGAACAAGGATCCAAATGGTTCCACACAAGCGTCTCATCCTCTTCCACTTTCTAGATTTAATTTGCTGCCCCTAATCAGCGCGTTCCCATTATAATTCATAGCTGCTGTTATGTCAATACACATGGCCCTGATGCTGTGTACTTTAGGCCTGCCATGTATGAAAATTGCAATCGGCCCTATTTTTTGCGTTTGCAGTTAAACGGAACGCTAGCAAAGTTTTGACAGGCGTTCGATCGCACTGCCGGCGGAGGGGCGTGGAAGCGGTGCCATTGAATACAATGCTCCCCGCGTTTTGGGGCGGGACGGTGAAGGTTCCCACCGAAAGCGTGTGCGTTCCAGCAGCTACCGCTCTGGAACGCACACGCTTTCGGTGTGAACAAGCCCTTACAGGGACTAAACATTAACAATGTTACTGTACCCTGTGTGATCACTGTGACAACTTGCTCCAGAGATTATCCAGATTCTCAGTGTTACAATGTTACAAAATTGTCCTGTTATCAGATCATAACTAAGGTGCAGAAAAGATGGGTAGTGGGGGTGGGAGGGTTCTGCTTTTATTACCTCCTCCCTCCACCTTCCCTCATAAACTAGTTTTTATTATTATTCATGTGGTCATGGTGGTGTCTGTGGGTACGTCTTGGACATGGGATTGTCATTGGATCAAACTATTGTCGTTTGATTATCATTCAGGTAATAAACTTGTCAGTTCAGGAGGGGGTGTCACAGAAACCATCCTTATTAGAACCACATACAGAGTTATAGGTTGTTGATGCGCGGATGTGTGTGATTTATAGATACACATACTGTATATATTAGGAATGTCCCGATATCATTTTTTCCAGTACTTTCCATGAGCAGCTCGCCGATACCAATTCCCGATACTTTTTCTTAAAGTGACATGTGACATATTTTCTAAAACAATACAGACTGATGATTTTAGGGCAGTTTCTTTATAATTATGAAGAACTGTAACTCAATCCATGATTATTGTGCAATGGAGAATGGCACCCAGCAATAAAGGACAACAGATCCCATCAATCCACAACTAAACAGCAATTACACAGGGCTGCGTTTGGGTCTCTCCAGAGCTCTGCGGGTGGGTCCCGGGCTCAGGGTCTGTACAGGCAGGTGTGGGTCTCTGCTAGGAAGTAGGAGGAGGCAATGTATGGCCGGACCAGCACTGGGGACCTCGGGCACCCAAACTTGTTTAAAAATTTAAAGGGCCGGTATTGGCCTTTTAGAATGGGGTCATTTTCACAAATACAGGGCATTTTCAGGAGTACTTGTATCAACATCGATACTGATACTAGTATCGGCACATCCCTAATAAATATATATATGTTAAAATATACAACATTTCTGTTCTTTCAATAAAAAAAATTTTTGGCTTTCTCAGGGGTTCCTCGAAATCTGGGGATGGTAGGACTCAGATGTGAAGGGGGCTTCTGATATGAATGGGTGGGGCGGGGGGGCTCTGAAGTGAAGGGGAACCCCACTTTTTTGTGTCTTTTTGCATGGGTTTCCCTCTTAAAATCCATTACAGTCTAGATTGGTGTGTCTCAAGAATTTTCATACTTTTAAAGGGTGCCGCGACTGGAAAAAGAAATGCTGCTGTGCAGTACCACAAACACTGGTATTCATATTTACCTGAATTTGTTTGGGCTGTGAACATAATACATAAAATCTCTGGAACCATTCTGGGTGATGACATTATTGTTCTTGTGTGACCAGGTCTTTTGAGGACGACTACGAGGGAGAGGACATCATCTCTGCTCCCGAAATCACCAACAAGATGGATAAACTGGTCATTTCTGACCTTTCCGCATGAGGACAGTCCCCATCTCTCTACTGGACAATCAGACCGAGCTGTATTTTAAGGACTGAACCCTGGCCGGGGGGCAGACATACAGGGGAAATATAGAAATATATTTTTTATGTTTTTGTGAAAAGATTTGCTTTGTTTTTGTAAGACGCTCTGGAACTTGTTCTGCTTGTATTTCCTGCATTGTGTGCGCACACGATTGCTGTCCAATGAACAAAAGCCATGATGTGCAATATGTCTTAATAACTGTGCCACAGCTGTAGAGGAACCAATCAGAAGCTTCATTTCAGGGCTTTTACTCATTGGTGAGATACTGCCAAGGATGTTTTTTTTTTTATTTTAACTGCTGAACTGCCAGAATCGAGTTTAACTGTAGAGCGAACCAAAGCGGGAGTCCATGGAATATCTTCATTAGCGAACACGAGCGATGTTTATAAGGGAGAAAATAACGCAGATATTTATTTTTATGTATAATTCATAGTACCGTCTACCTTCTGTATACATGTATATAGCACAAATCCTATGGACGTGCGAGATATGAGACTAGCAAAGCATTATGGGAATTGCAGTTGCACTTTTCGGAAGCAGAATATCTGTATGAGATGCCGTGGGTGAAATCTGCCTGTCTGACTCTATACTATTGCCGGGTCCGTGACATCACCCGCAGTGAAGCTGATTAGGGTTCAGCTTTACTGCCTTGGAGCTACTGTGTAGTGTATGGGAGTTGGATAATAGCTGCTTCCCTGCAGAAGGCTTTTCACACCACTGTTATGCTTCAAAACAGATTCCCTAAAACAATCTAGCAGCGGATCATATTGAAATAGAATTATGATGAGAGGATTAGAACCTCTCTCAGGTTTTTATTGCTGTGTCCAAATTGGAGAGATTTTAAGGGCCCACTATAGTGAAAATGTTTAGTATATCAATTCATTTTATGTGACGTACCTTTTTATGTACATTTTTCTCCGTTTTTACTTGTAGGCCAAGCTGTCAGTTACAGGGGTTGGGACAAACTACTAGAGTGCCGCGGGTGCTCACAGTGGTCAGATTTTACTCATGTGTTTTATAACCCTCATTTTCCTCTGAATTCATCCTTCCTCAATGAATTCAGTGTTGTCACCCTACTGCTGGAAGTGGAAAATAATAGTGCTACTGGCAGGAGCAACAGGTGATATAAAGGTGTTCATGTCAGTGACAGACTGGAGCATATACGTCATTTCTCTCTCATTTATTGAAACAGGCCAAGAGCGCTTCACCACTGGTTGTCATTTTTCTTTGCCCATAGTTCCTCTTTAACTTATTTCCTGTGCCATGGGTACCTGAGACAGGAAGTGAAGAGGAATCTCCCCAGTGGGTCACCACAGCAATAAAAAACAGAGGCTGTGCAGATTGCACCAGAACAGGAAGTGAGGAGAAATTGCTGCAGCTGAATAAACCTGACATTTAACCCTTTCCCGTGCTATCCATCACATAAAATAAACATGAGTAAACCTCCATTTTAATATCACTGTATATGCAATATTTTACATAAAGTAAACTTAGCTTAGTACAAACATTTTATATTTTATGGATTGATGTTGTTACATCTTGCTGTAATATTTTCAGGATGAGAGCTCGAAGTGATCATTTTATTTATTATGTAAATCAACCACATGCCAGCTGTAGATATGTGTTGGGGCTCATTCATACCAGGTGCATTGCTAAATGCAGGCCCAACGCAGTGACATGCTGAAATCTTTTGTTTCCAATAGGCCCCATTCACACCAGTGCACTCTGTGGATGTGCGTTGGGTGAGAATGGAGGTGGGGAAACTCGATGGCCAATTGCTTTGGAAAGAGGACTTTAAGGGGTCTATTTATAAACAATTTATAGAGCCATTCGCCCTGCAAATCTCTGTGAGTGTTCGTTCTGTATGACTAGAGGCAAAAACAAACATTCTTATTACATTCAACCTGAAAAAAATATACTATCGCATTCTGACCACGAGCTGGAGCCGAGGGGTATAGAAAATACATTTCCTCGGCTCCATCTAGTGGCCATAATGCGTTATTACATTCGGCCTGAAATGCAAATCTATCAGGCATGTTCCGTTTTGCTTATCCGCACAGAACGAAGATTCACTGAGATTTGCAGGCCGAATGGTTTTTGAGGAACCGGATGAAACTCGTCCACTGCCGGCACCCATTCGGCAGGCGTCCCTCGATCAGCTGATCGTAGGGGCTGGTGGGAAAATTTTTGTACGATAGGAGCCAGCAGCCAATGAGCTGCCCGCTCTCTTTGGGTATTTTGACTGCAGCCACTGTCAAAATATAATGCAAACAGCAGGATTCCTTGATTGACGCACGTCTCCATGTTGATGGAGGAATCTGCTCTATTTTTCTCAGCCTGTGGGTTTAAAGCGCAAAATAGATGAGTTTATGGCCCCTTTTAGTGTGCTTGTCATATACAACAGCTGAGGCTAGTTTGTGGCTGAATAGTCAGGTCACTAGTCTGTAGAAGTGTAACTTACTCTCCTGGGCCATTATAATATCCCATAATGCTCAGCTAGCCTTGAATTGGTTAACTTATTGAGTACCTAGGTATTTGCCTCTGTGGTAGTTTACACGGGCACTTTAGGTGAAGCCCAGCTCTTTTCTCTGAACATAGGCTGATGTCACACGGGTGACACATTGCCAGATTCACATGGGAGAGCCTTACATTTACCTCTGTGCACTTCTCCCTTGCTGGTCCCAAGTGCTGCAAAATCTCATGAGCGGGCCTGGCTAGCAAAGGAGCGATTCCATAGACACTGGGGAGCTGTGTCTTTGTGATCCTGGCAAGGGCCTGTTATCACCAGCATCAGGATCAGTCTAAAGGTGTGAAGTCAGAGCAAGCAATAGAGAATATTTTAGTTTTATATGTAGGGAACCATTTACTCTGAATCCTCATCTTCCCTGCCTGACATTGTGCTCATCTGTTCACCAGCTAAGATCTTCACAACGCCGATGCAGAGAAAGTTCCTGTGTACACAAACACTCGGCACTTATAAGGCATTGCATGCCTCACTTCTGTTCTGCTCTTTGCTGTAGTCTGCCTTACATGATATTTTAGTTGTGTTCATATTTTTCCGCCTTTTGAAGTGTCCTGTGACTGTGCCGTCATGCTTTCTGGAAAGGTATAAGTTTGGAGTTTTAGTTTTGTAAGTAGTGTATATATTAAAAAAAATGAAATAAGTGGTACCCAAATGAAGCTGATGATGTGACTGCAGTATTCCTGCTTCCCATAACAATCATTGTACTGTCCTACATACATACATACATACATCATTGTGCAGAGATGTCGCAGAGTTCCTTTTACGTCTCATGTCATGCAAAGGACCAATAGTAAGAAAGAAAGCATCTCAAATGGCCATCAGGTCCCTGGAGTGTGTGAAATACGAGGGTGATTCCTTTGCTTGGGCCTTTTTGTAAAACACACATTTGCTGCAGTAATTTTGTCCCAAGCTCAAACAATTCCTACTAAGAAAACAAAAATCAATGATTACGAGACATAAGCAGTGGTTACCTTCAGCAGATTTATGTCTGGGGCAGGTGGAAGAATATAAAAATGATAGTTTCCTATAGAAGTTGAGCCTTGCCCCATCTATCAGACCCCAGGATAGGTATTTTAGGGGGAACTCCCAGTAGGTTGTGTGTACCGTGTTTAACCCCTAAAGTCTAGCTCATTTGACTAGTGTTCAGCATACTGTACCCGGGCCCTCTTGAAAGAGGTGGTCTGGGGCACAGTTCAGGTGGACTCCAGCACAGTGTGACAATGTGTGATGGTTTACTGTGCCCAAGTGAAGAACGTGAACATTGGAGCAGATTCGATCCATTTGTACCCACTCTGGTAGTAAGGGTACAGATATTGGCCTAGCACAGTGAGCACAAGAATCATGCTCTCAGACCCGGCACAATGTGAGTGCAGATCAGCGAAGGAGGGGGGTCAGTCATGTTTGGACATGGTACAAGGCAACTGTGCCTAGTGTGAGTACATCCTTAGCGCCCATTTACACCACATGCTGATCATCTCCAGACCAGATTGTTTCCGGAAATTGGTGTGAACCTTAACGTGATGTATCAGCTGGAAAAAAGAGGTTTAGTGCATGGCCTGGGATTTTTTTTTCTTTAAGCCTGTAACGAAAAAAAATGAATTTTTGATTCTCTTTCTTTACAGCAGCGATTTTAAGCATGTGTTTGACAAATGATGGATCCCAAAATAAAGGGTCAGCCCACCCAAATTAATAGTTTAGTAGTACGTGTAGCTTAGTTGGCTGAATCAGTGTCTTATGTCTTCAGTACTCCAGTAGAGATATCTTCCTAATTATAATTCCTGATCCCTCTCTAAAAAATTAAACCCCTCCCCCCCCCCCCCCCCCCGGCAGTTTTGGTTGCTCCCACCGACCTTTGCACCATTTAGCACATTCTGTTTCCTTCATGTAAGTTACATTATTTCAGTTAAATTGTTCTCCTTCATAAAGATTACATCATCTGTAGAGCCCCATGGGGCTTTTATATCTCACCAGTAGTGACCTTGAGATGTATGAGGAATTGGTGGTTCAACTCTCCAGTATTTACCAAAAACTACAAAACAGTTTTGGGTGGACTGACCCTTTAACTGGGATCACTGGGCTGAAATCTCTCTCTGCATTCACATTATTCTAAAATAAATGAAAATACTTATAATACATAGAGCTGGTGGGTGGACTGTGAAAGCCATATTATGGTTGTGAAGCCTTCAATCCATATAAGAAGCTTGATGGATAAAACGGACTCGCCCTTCAGTAGATCGATCAGTCACCCAAATCTAATGTGTAATGGTAGAAGTAGGCTCCACTGTTACCAGCTGAATCATTGGACCTGCTGTAATCCTGTCGATGATGATGATGATGACGACGACGATGACGACAGCCCACACTGTGCTGATTGTGGACTCTCTTCCATTCTGGTCACCCTAAATGTGGCATCCTAAATCTATGTATCAGTTTATGGTGACTTATAGATATATAGGGACACCATCAATTTACAGATAAGTTAATAGTATGAATGCAAATTACCTGACCGCTGGAGTCCACCCCACACCACACGGGGGTTTAATGTCAAATAGGTTTTTAATATGCTCCATTTTCTGGGTAAGTTTTCTTAGCCATATTCACATTCAAAAGTTGTGCATATTAGTTCAAACGTGTCCATGTGTCTTGTCTTCATTGGCCCCAGTGGGCTTGCCGGTGACCCAAAACCATAAACCCTGACTAAGAATGTTTTTTGTAGTCATAGTTTGAGGTTGTGGCTTTCACTATACTAAGGAGAATATTTAT